AGCAGGGAGCAGCGGAACTTCATAAAGTACAGAGTGTCAAGAACGTTTAACTACAAGATCACAAAAACTTGCGTATTGGTCTATCCAAGCCTAAAAGTCATTTCAATAATCAGACTAGGAATACATCATTTTCTACCAATTCCTTCAATATTCATAATCTTCAATGATACAGATGTGGATCGTATCAGCACTTGGCAGATAAATGCGATAAAAAAAAGTTTCCTACATGCGATTTCTGTAAAGGGAAAGGTCACATTGGAAAAGTCTGCATGAAGAAGAATCGACAAAAGAGTGGTGAGGTTCGACATGTGGAGGAAATCGAGGAAATTCTATCAATTGATGCTGAACATACGGAATTTCGTGAGAAATTTTTCATTACTTGAAATGTCCATCATATTCCAATACAATTCGAGGTAGATAGTGGTGCGGCAGTAAGTTTAGTTATTATTAAACATTTCAAGGGACTGTGGTCAGATGTCAGTCTTAAGGAAACCAATGTTAAATTGGTGAATTATTGCGAAACAGTACTAGATATCGTTGGTTATTCATCAGTTCTGGTCGAGTTTCAAAATAACGAGTATTGACTCAATCTTTATATCGTGAATTCAGATAGTGAACCAATTTTAGGAAGAGAGTGGATAAGGCAAATTAATCTTCACAATTTGAATGACGGAAATTCTACTATAACTCCTTGTACTACAATTAATTATATACATACAATTTCACATGAATTTCCTCAGATTTTGGATACGAATTTAGGGAAAATTACAGGAATACAGGCGAAACTGAATGTTAGGGCAAATGCTGAACCAGTTTTCATCAAAGCACGTAAGGTGCCATTTGCATTAATGCAAAGACTTGAAGAGGAGTATAGTAATTTAGAAAAGGATGGTGTTTTACAAAAAGTCAATAATTCAGAATGGGCTACTCCAGTTGTACCCATAGTAAAAGCTAATGGTCGTATTAGAGTTTGCGGAGATTTCAAAGTATCTCTGAACCCTAATCTGATTATTGATGAACATCCTTTACCGTCTATTGATGATTTGTTCGCTACCATGGCAGGTGGTGACCGTTCCACTAAAATTGATTTGAATCAAGCATATTTACAGATGGAAGTTACTATCGAAGATAGGAAATTTTTAACTCTCAGTACACATAATGGTTTATTCCAATGTACACGTCTAATGTACGGTATTGCGAGTGCACCAGCCATCTGGCAGAGAGAAATGGAAAAATTACTGATAAATATACCAGGAGTATCCGTTTTTCTCGATGATATAAAGATAACAGGACCAGACGATAGAGTTCATTTACAGAAATTCGACAAAGTAATTTCTCGCTTGGCACATCATAATATCAGGATTGATATAGATAAATGTGCGTTCATGCAGGAAAAGATCGATTATTGCGGGTATACGATAGATAGGTCATAAATTCATGAGTCGAAATCAAGCATTGAAGCCATACAGAAAGTTAAGAGACCTACAAATGAAAGTGAAGTTAGAGCATTCATAGGATTAGTGAATTATTATGGTTGATTTTTCAAGAATTTGAGTCACATATTATTTCCTCTCAATAACTCACTGAAAAAAACTGTTATTTTCAAGTAGGACAAGGAGTGTCAAGATGCTTTTGAATACGTCAAGAAAGAAATACAGTCAGATCAAATTTCTGGCACATTTCGACCCGAATTTAGAAATTGTGATAGCTACAGATAGTAGTTCTTATGCAGTTGGGGCTGTTATTTCACATATTTATCTTGATGTTACAGAACGCCCTATTCAGTTTAAATCACAAACTTTGGATGAAACACAGAGAAAATATGCCCGAATTGATAAAGAGGCGTATGCTATTATTTTCGGAGTGAAAAAATTCTTTCAGTATCTATATGGTAGAAAATTCACCCTCTATACGGATCACAAGTCTTTGGTACACATTTTTGCAACAATAAATCTCTCCCTACACTGGCAGCTACAAGAATGCAACTTTATGCTTAATTTTTGCAAGGATTTCAATACGATATAAAATATAAAAATACAAAATTACATTCCAATGCTAATGCGCTTTCTAGATTGCCTTCACCAAAAGAAAATGAGTTTACTTTCGAGGAACCAGAGTAATTTCAAATAAATCAAATAGATATTCTTTCAGTTTCACATTCGGAGTTGGCGAAAGAGTCTTTCCGAAGTGAAGAATTCCAAAAACTCATGGATGGTTTGAAATCAGGTAGGAATATTTGCAAATCAGATTGATTTGGTATTGACCAAAATGAATTCAGTACAAAGTAATTGTATATTCAAGGGATGCCAAATCCTTATTCCCAGTACCTTATGTAAACGTTTACTGGATGAATTACATGCTGGTCATTTTGGTATTATAAAAATAAAAGCCTTAGCTAAAAGCTATTGCTGGTGGCCGACAACTATTATGTAAGAATTGTAGTGCCGTCCAGAAAAATAAGAATAATCCACCAAAAGATTCTTCACATCTTTGTGAATCGACATCAGTGCCTTTCGAACGTGTACATGTTGATTTTGCTGGTCCAATTCTCCAGGATTATCATTTCATTATGGTCGACTCGTATTCTCGATGGCCTGAAATTCACAGAGTTCCAAAAATGAATTCAAAAATTACAATTACAGTTTGCCATCAGATCTTCAATACTTTTGGAATTCCTCGAGTTCTTGTCAGAGATAATGCATCAGTTGTTATGTCTCGAGAGTTTCAAATATTCTTGGAACAAAATGGTATATTGCATAAGCAAAGCCCTCCGTATCACCCAGCCATCACAGTTGCAGCCAGTAACGGGTTAGCAGAACGTTTTGTTCAAAGTTTGAAATAGTCTCTTAGAGCTAGTTTATGCGATTCACATACTATTACAGATGAGGACAAAGGAGTAGCTTTGTCAAGATTCCTTTCTCAATATAGAAAATTACCAAATTCCACAACAGGTGTCAGTCCAGGAAAGTTGATGTTAGGTAGAAAAATCCGAACAAGAACAGATTTATTGAAACAACCATGTAATATAATTCAGTACACCAATTCAACTTCTAGAGAATTCCGAGAAGGGCAAAGGGTGTCTGTGAGAGACTATCATGGTTCAGAAAAATGGAAATTTGGTCGTATTGAGGAAAAACTGGGAAAATTAATATATTTGGTAACATTAGATGACGGTCGTTTATGGAAACGTCATATTGATCAAATACGTACTGTGGGTGAATCTGTCACAAATTCAGATCAATTATAGTATTATGACACAACACCAGAACAAAGTGATGCATCACCAATAATAAATAGTAATTTGGAAACACTATTCGAGAATTCTTCTATACAGGACGTTGTCATTCTAGAAGAACCTCCACCATTTTCTTCTGCCGGTTGTTCTTCATCAGCATCCGTACCTTCCACTTTGCAGAGATCTTCAAGAGTAACTAAATCGCCTTCAAGGTATGGAGTTCAGTAGCACACACATTCAGTATTCACAACAAGGGAAGGAAACTGATATGTTCATCGTATATTTCCAGTTTGATGTATGATTCATCATAGTTACTTAGGGATAGCAATTTTTATACATACATAACAACGAATAATCAATTGTTATACATAAAAAAGTAATTATTAAAGAGTCTTCATACAGTATTTTCTATCTAAGTTGCCATAATTGATAGCTGATACAAGCTAACAACATGGACCATATCTGTATGAAAATCGAAGACATTTACTTATGTGAGCAAGGAGAATTCCGCCCTGTTGAAGAATGTACATCCACCCTTATTCAAGACCAGAGATATCGATGTCTACAAATACCCGTAGAAATTGCATTATTGACATTCAACAAAATGAATGATGAGTTATTTATTGATAATCAACCGTGAAGAAACCAAGATCAAAACTCGATGCTCTAAAGAAAATTCTACTTTTCTATTCCACGGGATTGCAGAGTCGACCAGTACCTCGAATTCGACAACAATCAGGCTTCAAGTTTTGGTAGTCTCCTCGTATCACCAAAAAATATAAACGGCTTCTCAGAAGCTAAAATAGTCTGAAGAAAACCACTCACAATCGAAATACATCATAGTTACCAATCAACTATCAATCGATGATCAAAATGACAACTAATCAATCAATCAATATCGAAGATAATCATCAATCAGCCCAATCGACTTTGGTTTTCTCCCAACCCGAAGCCGTCACTCAAGGAGGAAGGAGTTACATCAAGCGGTCCCACGGTACCGGACTAGGTACAACACATCCCAGGCCTTTTTCCAGAAAGCAGCGAATCCAGCAAATTCCTATTTGGTCTCTCAAGATCAACCGACATTATAAATACATGTATAATTAATTTTTTCAATGATTTTGACCTCATACCTTGTCCAGTGAACTTGATACACGTTTTTTAAAAAGGCTTCTGCCGGTTTTACGAGAATAACTTATGAACCTTTTCGATCGGTAATCCTACAGAGACTGAGTAAATAGTGATCAATTGAGAATTGAACATTCTAGATTCATTGAATCTAGTGAACCAATTAGGGCTAATCTTGAAGGAGAAACTATTGTTAATATCATTAACCAGTAATTTTAGTAATCTCCACATAGCTCCCTCTCTATTTGGCTATTTTCAGCAGAGCTCCTTCAGCTATACAAAAATTGAGAGTGCAATGGGAACACCCATATCGAAGAAAATTAATGCTTCATGATTTGTGATTCCAAGACAGGCTAGAAGCAAAAATACTACACCATGCACAAATTATATGGTATTTTTAGTTTTTCATTTGTCCTCCCACTTCTATCTCTCGGCCTTGGGCCTGTTCAGATCAGAGTAGGTTTTTTTCCGTAGTATCTTCACCTCTGGATTGGGAGCAAGATGATAAATAATTATAATCGAGTGAGTTTTATAGATGAATAAATCATTGAATGAATAATAGAAACAGTGTTCTGTTCACTTCTATCCACGAATAACGTAACTAAATCATTTCATCGAAGTAAATGAATATTCTTACCTGTCAGATGCTACTGCAGCTGTTGAGATAGCCCATGAAGACCCACACCACTTCTGATCTTGGATACCAGAGATATATCCTGGCCAGACGGCGTCACAATCGAATTCTCTTGGTAGTGCATTTGGATCGTAAATTCTCCTTACAGGATTCATACTCATCACGAATTGTTGTGGTGGAAGAGTTCCCAATCTGAAAAGAAGAATGAACGGATGAATTGATTCTCATAGCTGACCAGTGGACGGAAGATGAAGCATGCATTGCTCATGGTTCATTGGCAAATAAGTCAGGAGTTCAATCCCTGGACTTTATGCATGTATTCATCGTGATTCTGATATGCTTTTGTACATCATAAACCATTCTAAAAATAACTAGCCCTAACTTCACAATGCTTTGAATTCCACCCGAATGAACTGTACCTACATACATTTTTTGTCACATTCGCTCACGTTCTGAGCTGCATTCAATCATGTTCCATTTCCATCTTACAGATATAATTATAAACCCATTGTATCGATAACTACTGAAAAACAAAAATTCTCCCCGAATATGTATGATACATTATCAAGGAGATACGCTGCACAAATATTGGTAGACGAAATATGTTTTTTCATCCATACATTATTCAACTATACTGAGAATATTTTGGGGGTATCAGAGATTCCAGTGAGAATGGGTTTGGCATGCTCTCCATTACAGCCTTCATAGTGTTTTTCATTGTATTTTTGTGCAAACTGGGCGTGAGCATATGCTGAGGCATTCTAATAATATCCACCATAGACCAATGAATATTTCAAAAATATGTTCAATATTTGTTGATGGATCATTCTCAGGGATCAGCTGATCATGAAAGAATGAATCTGGCATCTGTGCATCATTTCAACAAATCAAATAGTTAACACGGTTTATTCATTTCGACAATCACTATGGTCCTATGGTAGTGTTTGCAGTGCAGTCTTGTCACGACTCATTTTCCAAGTATGACATCATACTGTCAACTCATAGTAAAAGCACTCAATTATTAAATCTCGTCAAAGCAATAGAAATCACTGTATTCATCATTTCGCGAACTTGATATAATGAATGATCTGTTTATGTAATGATCTAGAAATTGAGTATATGTATGTACCTATGTCTTACTCGTTGTAGGTGAACTCACAGGATCATGGATTATGATCGATTATACTCTCATTGATTAGATTATCCGATGACTATAACTAGAAAGAGATAATTATAACAGTATAATACGATTTGAGCGTGGATGGCCATGTTGGGCAACGTCGCTTTTGTTTCTCCCTAATACTCATGAATCTCAATGTGTTATTGCTTCTATAGATAGTTTTTCCATAGGAAGATTTGGTTTGCCAGAGGTTTTTTTTTCATGTCTGTAGTCATTGGACTCCCATATGCTCAGCATATGATATAAAGTATACAGGGTAGGGTGGAACAAAAAATGAGATTTTGAACTTTTTTTTTCGAATGACAACCACATAGATACCAAAATCTCCATTCATTGGGTACCCATCACTGTGCCAAAATTCAACCTGCTACTCAAGTGTGCAAGAAAACCATTGCGTTGGATAACTGGATGAACAATGTTCCTAACTTCTAAAATAGGGTTATCATATCCACAATTGGCGAGACAACTCTGACAGCTAGAGCAGATAGGGGATGCCCACAGGGAGGAGTATTATCACCCCTACTATGGGCCATTCTAATGGACGAACTGATCAAAAGGCTAACATCCAAAGGGTATTATTGCTTAGGATATGCCGACGACCTGGCGGTTATCGCTAGAGGTAGATTCGCAAGTACGGTCTCGGAGCTCACACAAATCGCTCTAAACATAATTGACAATTGGTGTAAAGAGGAGGAACTCACCGTGAACCCTCATAAAACCACTATAGTGAATTTCACGAAAAAGAGAGTACTGGAAGGATTAAAGTCACCAGTACTCAACGGGGTAGAAATTCCGTTCGCCCTAGAGGCAAAATACTTAGGAGTCATCTTTGACCATAAGTTAACATGGAATCAACACCTACAAAAAATTGTTCAAAAAAGTACAGTAGCCTTCAATCTGTGCAGACGAATGTGCGGGAAAAATTGGGGACTGCAACCAAAAATGACCACATGGCTCTATGCCAGCGTCATCAGGCCTATGATAGCATATGGGTCAGTAGTTTGGTGGCCAAAGACACAACAGGCTGGAGTGATTCGAAGGCTCAGTGCTATTCAAAGGCAAGCTTGCCTGAGTGCCACTGGTGCAATGAAAACCACTCCAACAGCCGCTTTAGAGGTCCTCTTGAACCTACCACCACTACAAATATATATTCAAGGCGAAGCCAGAGCAGTCGTGAGTAGATTGTCAAGGGGTCAAGCACCCATAAGCAACGCGCACGGTAAAGACTATAGAAAGCTATATGAAGAGTTGGAAAGCGACCCCATCATGGGAATGCCAACGGATGGCATAATTCCAAAATATAGCTTTGAAAAAACTTTTAAAATAAGTATAACGGACAGAGAGGCATGAAAGGAAGGACCTCCTATCAATGCAGACATTGCTGTCTATACGGACGGCTCCAAAACTGAGTTTGGATCAGGAGCCGGTATTTATGGGGCCAAGCCAAAGACAAGAATCTCACTGAGCTTAGGTAAATACGCGACGGTGTTTCAGGCAGAAATTATTGCAATACATCATTGCGTGAAAGAATTGATAAGGCAAGAGTTTAAAGGCAAAACCATTGCAATCTATTCAGATAGCCAGGCGGCAATCAAAGCAGTCAACTCTATGCAAGTTAACTCAAAACTAGTATGGGACTGCTTAGAAACCCTAAATGCACTGGGCAGTCAGAACAGACTGACTCTAGCATGGGTACCAGCACATACAGGGTACGAGGGCAATGAAGAGGCAGACTCACTTGCCCGAGCAGGAGCAAACAAAGCTCTGAATGGCCCAGAACCCTTCTGTGGTATTGCGAAAGCTATACAAAAGACTAGTATCAAATCATGGATGCAAACCAAATCTCAAGAATGGTGGAACAAATCGCCAGGAATGAGACAGGCAAAAGAGTTTATTAAAAAACCATCGCCAACATTCACAGAATATCTACTAAGCCAGAAACGAAGTTCAACTAGAATACTAGTGGGACTTCTCACAGGGCATTGTAGGCTCAACAAACACATGAGTACGATAGGTCTGACTGAAGAACTGCTGTGCAGGTTCTGTCAGGAAGAGGAGGAAACAGCAGTACACATACTTTGCCACTGTGAGGGCTTGTCAAGACTAAGGTTCCTTACGCTGGGTGAGGAAAAACCAGAAGCCCAGAGATACACAGGGGATCTGAAAGCTAGCCTATGGAGTCTCATAGAGAAGACGGGGCTAGCCGAAGAACTCTAATCGATTTTGAGGGCAGACACAATAGATCTGAAAAGGTCGCGGTGTGGAGGCAGATAGCCCGAGGGCCCCATTCTAAATCTAATCTAATCTAACTTCTACTGGCAAAGAACTGCAAGCTTTTATCAAAGTGAATGAATACCTTGCTCCTTCAATGCACAAAAGCTCGAGTTTAACTCCAAAACCAAAATTACGCCCCATTTTGGTTTCGAGTAAAACTTTCATTATGTCATTTGTTGAAACGGAAAGAGATTCTGACGGTTTATCTTCTGTAATGTAGAGCCTCAATATTCTATTTGCCGTAGTGAGCCAGCGTGCATTAGAAGGTTTTTCGGGGTTTCTTGATAACAGAAAGGCTGAAATGTCGCATGATTCGATGGACCGAACTATTTGTAAAAGGTATTCTTGATCTGTACTTAGATCATAGTTTCCAATGTCGATTTCAGGAAGATCACTTTCTATACTTTTGAATTTCACAGCAGACAGAGATTCACAGTGTTCTATTGATTCTTTTATAAGATGTCGCAATGTTTATTGAAATGAAACAAACAAATCAGCCACTGCAGATGATGTTCCAACTCTTTTTCTAATAATCGGATAGTTCCGTTCTCAACTTCTGTATTCACAACAGTTCCGTCTGATCCAACTGCAATCACATGGGACAAGTCATAGTTTCTCCCCAAGAAATTCAATAATGACTGTTTGATGTGCAAAGCACTGCCACTTTCTGGTGTTACGTGACCAAAATATCCAGAACCAGGTTCACTGATAATAGATATGTGTTCTTCCATAATGCGTTCTGTTTTATTTTCATTTTCATCGTGTACCAAGGTGTTGTCCTTCCGACTATCGAAGAATTGTTCAAAAAGTGGTCTACTCGCCGCGACATTCGTATATTTTCCACGTTGGTATATTCTGGCTTTCCTGATCTCCATTCTATATATTGTCATTGCAGAATTACTTTTGGATACCATGCCAATATCCTCCAAAACCACATTAGCAATTATAGCGGTTGCACGATCGGACACACCAGTTTTATCACAAGCGAGTGCAACGGATGAGTTTCATTTGATTACCCATTCCTGAATTATCACCTGGAAAGTTCCATGAAATTGAAAAATGAATTGGAATTGACAAAGAGCCCAAGCAAATCAAACTCACTTGATGCGATAGGTAAGTGTTCGAACCCATCTTGTTCTTCTTGTTCATCTTCACTACTCATCACGCTTGAAGATGTATTTTGTTTTGCTAACAGTGCATGGTTCTACTACAGGATAGAATAACTTCAGATTCAAATATCCTTGATGATGTCATCGCTCTCCTTTCTCCTGATATATTTATTTCCTTTGTGATTCTCACATCGACTGTTCCAATACACATTTTCCGGCAATTTCTCTGATCAGTAAGGATTTCTTGTTCTCTCAGAGGCACTTTTTTGGATTTCTCGGATTTACATTCATTGAAATCGCATTTGCATGAAGAAATGTCGAATGATTGTGACGCTTCATTAAAAAATGAAATCATTCTTGAGAGTCTCAATATTCGTTCTGGCTTTCGAAACTTGAACTCGTTTATAGCGTTCATAGTTTATCCCAGATGAGGTTACGGGAAACGATTGGGATTGATGCACTTTGCCAAATTTCTGCAATTTCCAGCACAACACTGTTCAGTATCTCAGAGACACCTGGATCTTCACCACCAGATTCTAACTTCCGATCATTCTGAACGAGAAAGTAGTGTGAAATGACGTCCTGGAAAGTAGGTAACATCCGAACAATCACCAATTTGGGCTGGCCAAATATCTTGCAACGAACTTGACTTCTAGTTGTCATAGTAATATCAGGATATAGTTTCACCTGACGCGCACTCGCATAGTCGACACACAAATGATGTAAGACAATAAACTTAATCCACGACAATGAATTCAGGTTTCAACTTGTCAACACCCCACTCCTTGTATTCCAGCCGGTATTCATGCACGCTATTTATTGAGCCCATATTCCTAGATTAGCGCTAGATTTTATGATGAGAAGCCATTGGATATTGAAATCAAATGATTCTGTTTGGGTAGACGTCACAGAATATTTTGATGATGGTTTTCAGCGCTATGTCTATCAGAAAAAAAAATGCAATACAGTATAAATGTGAGAGGAAAGTAGCGAATATGAACCTGAAAATTGTTAACTTTGATTTCCTTGAGGAACCTGAGAATGTAAAGATAGGGCAATGAGTTTCAGAGAGTGATTTCATTACGTCCAAACGCACTTTTTGACGCCTATGGCATGAGAGATTCTGAATTTTTGTCTACCCTAATACAGGGTCCTGCATCTCACCTCCCGTCTTCTCTATAGATCAGTTATCAGTTGAGTCAAGGTTTTGATATTTCGCATATTTCAATTGTGTCGTAGGGCGCACACCAGGAAAAAACTTTCGATTATACAGGGTGCCCCAAAAAAGTGTAACCACATAATGATATATTTTTTTAAAGGCATGCCATATATTTTGTTGCACATTTCATTGCTTCTAGTGGTTACTTAAATACTACTGAAATTTAATTGAAATCGGTTCAGTGATATTTACGTGAAAAATATAACAAAAAAATCAAATTCTGCACCACAACATCAATAACGAAAAAAAAGTGCCTGGTCGATAGAATCATAGGAGATACATATTGAATATGGCCTAAAAGGATCGCTAACCGAGTTTGATTGACACAAATCATCAAACACAAAATTTAGTGGCAAACTTTTCGAATTCCAAAGCAATATATGTTTCTTATTTCAAAGTGGAGCCCCTGTATATTTTTCTGACATTCGATGCGTGAATGAAAAACAAACTTCTTTTCTTATCACAACCCTATCGAAATTCTCATCGTATCAAAAGTTATTTGCCGAAAACCCGTTTCGTCATCTATTGAACAGTCATTTGAAAGAAAAGAAACTTTGATTGAAATGTATGTTCGATATTTGTTTCGTTCTCTTGGAGGCACAAGCGAATACAATTATGAAATCATCTTGCCACTCTTCGTGAAAGGTTGGGTGTAATGGTTTGGAATGCTGCATATATTATCTGGTATGGTAGATGGCTCTTGATAAATGATATCCTTAACATAGCCCCACAAAAAAAACAGTTTGGATAATTCAGGTGATCTGGGAAGCCACTTACATGACCCTCCTCTTCTAATCCACCGATCTGGAAAGGTTTAGTTGAGATGGCTCCTAATTTGTGCTGAATAATGTGCTGGGGCTCCATTATATTGTAGCCACATTGCATTCCTCACAGCTATCGATAGATGTCGACATTAGTTTGGCAAAAAATCCAGATACATAGAGCCATTCAAATTCTCGTCGAAAAAGTAGGAAACAATAACATGTTCACCAATGATTCCTTCTCACGCATTAATTGTCTATCAATCTGCCAAAAAACCCTTGGATTGTCATCGGAGTAATAATGAAAGTTGTGACAATTCAAAAATCCATTCTTTTGGAAGGTGGCCCCATCATAAAACAAAACCTTATCAAGAAAGTCGAAATTTATTTCGATTTCACCTTGCGCCCAGTTGCAGAATTCGACAGGTTTTTCAAACTCTTGTTCGAAGAGTTATTGATGAAACTGAATATGATAGGCATGCAAATAATGGTTGTCTTTTGAAATTCGTTGAACAGTTATCTTGCTCACGTCCAGGGCATCTGCGATTGCTGGCTGGCTAATGGGAGTATTTTCCGTAACAGATAACAGCACAGCCAATTGATTTTCTTCATTTCGAACCGGTCTTTATCTCTAACTGGTTTTGTATGAATTTCTGGTTAGTAAAAACCTATCCAATAAGTTCTGCAGGCTCCCTTGGTCAGGATGATGTCGTTCCGGATAGCGTTGTGCATAAACTCAACTTGCTAAAAGAGAGTTCTTCTTACATTCTCCTGATATTAAAATCATATCTACGAGCTCTCTAGGTTTCACTCCAAGAAAAAATACAATATTTCGTTGAAGACTGCTCAAATATGTTTAATAATGAGCTAACAATGCATTGAATTCAAACCACTATAGCCCAAATAGACTCCTGACACTTCATTAGAGTTAAACGTCAATGATTCACTTCTCAAAGCCACCTTCGCTTTTTATTCATTCAAATGACCATCAGAATAGTTGATGGAACGAGTTCTCGGCAAATTACTCTTGATACGATGAGAATCGATCGATGGGGAAAAAAGTTTGTTCTTTATCAACGCATCGAATGACATGAAAATATACATTGGCTCTAAATTGCCACTGAATTTGGTACACCCTGTGATGAATCGTGTCAATGGAACTGGGTTAGCGATCCTTTCTTATATTATTCTATTCGATTTGAGAGATAATGTCAATTCTCAATTACAGAGGATTTTAATTTTTTGTGCTCTTTTTTTAGATATTCAACAGATATAATTCAATGTTCGACGTGACATATAGCCAGGAAAATAGTTGTTTTCTGTTGAATATTCAGACTGATACACTTGGTAAAACTTGATACGGTGTACCTTTTTCGGGATATTTTGATTTGAAAATGCTGAAGTATAACACTGATGCTATTCAGTTGAAAGTAAGTATCATAAAAAACTGTTACCTATTTATTGATAACCACGTCAGGAGCTGCAAGAAAGAATTGAACATTACTTCGATCATCTCATAGCTGATTCTCAACCGTTGAGTAGATTGGTGCATTCGTTGGAAGAAAGGATCGAATTGTGTATTCGTGAAAACGGGGGACATTTTGGACACTTACTCTAACTAGATAATGTTTTGAGTCAATATCAATTGAAAATTTCCTGATGTCATTTCGTTTGATCGATTATTACTCTAGCAATAAAATAATGTTTATCTTTTTCGTCCTCAATAAATAGATGATTGTTTTTTATAATACTTATTCAAATACCACAATCAGAGTTATTGCTTCAGTATTTTCAAATCCAAATATTTCTAAAACGGTACACAGTATCGAGTTTTACCAGGAGCATCATTTTGGTGTAAAATTGAATGGTGTTCAAGTTCACATTGAGTTTGGACTGAAAAATCTAACCTCAAAAAAGTTATGTTCAAAAGAACTCGGTACGAACCGTGTAAATAGCGCCCTCATTAAGTGTCCATACAAAATTTCATCTCAATGTTGCTAGTAGTTTCGACATAATCGTAAAAAATGTGTGAAAAAGTATTTTTTCAACACCTTGTATCTTGAAAACGAATGCCGTTAAAACATTTTTTCACCGAGCAAACCCAACATGTTTTGCAATGTTCTACCTACCCTAGCAAAGGGGTTAGGTTTTTTTTAAACACCCTGTATATATGTATATCTGCATTTTCGTGTATTCCTGAATTCATCTGAAAATATTCCTTTTCAATAATTTTCTTGAGTTCTCAACCAACTTGCATTCAAATCCTTATTTCAGTTGTCAAGTAGTCGATGTTTGTTGAAATGAACAAATCAAAATTTCACTGTGAGTTTACCATAATGTATAAAAACGAAAGCTTAACCTCACTCATTTATACCGAATACATTCAGATGAGATTATCTAGTGACTGCTGGTGAATTTGAAATTTCTTCCCATCACGCTATAACTCCTAAGGTGCATGTGAATTCCGGCAATCGGCTCATCACGCCATCAATAGAGTTATGGAAGGTGCTGATTTCAATCATCAAAATAAATACTTGTGATGATTTTGAATAACCAATGATTGCATCAAGTAAAATCCATACAGAGAAAAAACCATACAAAATATAAATGTGACGTAAATTCAACTAGTACGTATGAGGCATTTTGAAAGAGCTTATGTTTGGTATGTTATTTTATACTACCCACGGATATAAATGAGACATTTTGTTAACAGAATATTTTACCTGAATGTGATACCATCATCGAGGGTTCTGCCCCAGAATTCCGTATAATTCGAAGCTGTCCAACCAAATAATTCAGGATTCCTATTGATGACACTGGTAATATTGGGATCGATCATACAAACGTTCGTGTCACACAGCAATTTGCCCTCGGCTTCACAGATACTGAAATGTATAATGATTTTGGAATAGTTGAATGTTAGATATAATATATACAATGATGAATCCTACTGATGGAACCTCGATTTAATAGTCTTCGAGTGTGGAAAACCATAATAAGATGAGAAAATGTAACATGTTTCCAATTTTAATGGCTATAATTGAGTCCAAGCATCTTTCATTGGTATTTAAGCAGAGAAAAGCCGGTGTGACATTCAGGTATCAATCTGGGAGGTATAAATAGATTGATTCTAGAAAACTGTATAATTCGAAGGTACTTTTTGTGCTGACAAAGTTGCATGGGTTATTAGGGATCGTAGAAACAGAATTTCCAATCCAAGATAGCAGTCGTTAATTTCATGAAACCGCTATTTTATATCTAGATACTATCTGATATGAAATGTTTCCTTCGAGAGAAAGATTGCATTCTGCCTCTCTAAGTTTTTGGTTTCTTGCATTGATCAGTATTTTCAATCATAGAAAGAATCAAAGTGGAATTATTCATTCATCACATCTTTTATAGTGCTAAATATTCCTGCCGGTATTGTGATGATGTATATATTTTGGTGGGACGTGACATCTACAGTTCATGAAAAAATGCTTCTACCGATGATTCAGTGGAACAAATGAATCATAGGAGTACGTGTGACCAACATATTTACTATGTATTCACTATCCAGCTTTTCAATTTCCAATTGAGTTCCACCATAACTCGATCACGTTATATTATCGAGAAGGGCACAATATTTGTGATGTTATGTATTCATATCCAAAATCTTATGAGTATTTCCATCATTGCATAATCAAGTATGATGAATAGGGGTCAGCATCAATAAATTTGCATTGAGTACCTACGTCTCTGTCGAAAATCTAGAATCAAGAAAATAGCCCGTCAGACTCAAGAAGTTTGACTGTCCTTTTCTGATTAATATATTGGTGAGGGTTACTTAGCTGTGTGCACTTGTAGATATACCATAATAGTACAAAATGTTGTATTTCGTGCAAAATGATTTATTCAAATGTTTCTCGTAGAACAGTGCTCTCGACTTTACAGTCATCAGTGCGTTCTGGTCAGGTTCACAACAAAATCATACATAAAAATATTTTTGGTCCAGTTGAGTAATATCAACATTATGACTGATCACGGTACAAACATTTTAAAATTTGTTCCCCAAAATGGATGATATGCCGGCAGTTTGAGAAAATGATATCAAAAGTATGAGAATCAACTAACGATTCAATCTATATTGCCTGATATCTATTGCTCTTACCATTCGTTACAGTTATCTTGGACTTTATTTCCAAGGTATATTGTTCTCTCCTGGAACGTACAACTAGTCAACTGTTGAGGATCATTATTTAGAGTTGTCGTAGCAATCGTTGTTGTTGTTGGTGGAGGAAGTATGCCTTTGCAGTGTGACCAATAATCAGGGCAGCAATCATCTACTCTTGTGTAGTTACAGAAATCATCACAGTAACATAGGGTACCTACAAGAATGTCATCTCTCAGATGTATTGTCATGCATAAATGTTTGGAGTTCGGAGATCGTCTTTAACCTTATATTGAGAAATATTACGGCAAGTTGTTTGATAATAATCATAATCATAATGTTTCTTCACCAAGAAAAATAGTTCGACAGCAACAAAAACCGGAGTTGTACGTGAAATTTTACTTTTCAAATTATAAATAGAGTTAATAGTGAGTATCAATAGTGAAAGCATGATATAACAAAATGATTGGTAGTGGGAATGATAACAATGATAATAGCATTTATAGTGTTGATGATGATAATGTTAATAATAATAGGTAATGTTAATGAAAATAATGATGAACAATGAACATAAATATCACGAGTGTTTAATTATTGCAATGCATGGACAAAACATTAAAATATATAGATGTGAATATTCGAATACGGCATTTCTCATTTCAATGAACAGGACTGAAGTAAAAACGAAATAGGAGATGGAATAACACAGCGAATTTCTGTGTTTGAATATAAATGCAACAATGGATTTGAAGAATAATTGTTTCATGTCTAGCACTCGTGATTCGTTATACAAGGCATCAGTCGGGTAAGCTTGTCCCTTGTTGAGCATTATTTTTATGAAGCGTTCCTGCATTTCTTCTAGTTTTTATATATAGGCTGTTACTGCTCCACCCCAAGCGAGGATCTATACTAAAGCCTTGATTCTATAAGTGATGTCCATGTGATAGGTATCTAATATATAACTGTAATATTTGAATTTGTACAATATACTTCTCAGTGTTTTTATTACATTACTTATATGAGTCTTCCACCTAAGGTGACAAGCAATCGTGATTCTCAAGTATTTAATATTACTAGTAGATTCAATCTCCAAATTTTTGTAGCCAATGTTCAAGCTGGAATATTCAGGGAGGCCGTTTTGATATGAGGAAAAGGCGATGTATTCAGTTCTTTCGTTTATGGTCAAACCATTTAACGATATCACTCAAGTCGTTCTCTATTCTGAAAGTTATATTTGCCCAGGTTTTATCTTCATAGAAAATAGCAGTGTCGTCGGCAAATCTGATAATGCTCCCAGAGCTCCTCAAAGAGAGTAAACTGTTGATATATATTGTAAACAAGATGGGACCCAGAACAGTTCCCTGTGGAACTCCATATTCTACTATTTGTTCTTGACTTATTTCATTTCCTATCTTCACGAATTGTTTCCTCCCATTCAGATAACTGAATATTGATCGATGTACAGTACCACGAACTTCTAAGTCTTCCAGGGTGTCCATTAATTGCGTGTGACTCACAGTGTCGAACGCCTTCAAAAGGGGGGGAGGGGAACACACAAAGATGGATAACTGTTATCCATTAATTCATAAATTTTGGAAATTGATAACAAAATGGCGCCTTCAGTTGATTTACCCTCTCTGATTCTAAACTAACTTCAGATACCAGTTCATATTTTTCAAGAAATTTTGAGTGTCTTGTTTTGAGTACCCTCTCTAATGCCGAACTAACTTTCAGATAGCAGTTCATATTTTTCAAGGAATTTTGAGAGTCTCGTTTCGATAACCTTTTCGAAAATCTTTGCAAACACTGGAATTATAGAAATAGGTCTATAATGGAGAAATACATGGCTATCATATACTTTTTAGCAGGATGTAGGACAAGTATTTTGCATGTACACTCGCCTTCAACGAACATGTCGCGGTGGGACGGTGTGAGCGCTCTTATTGCAGTGGTGATCAAGGGAGCTGACACCGTCCATGTGCGACATGATCTCTGAAGACGACTGTACATAATCACAGATCATCGACTTGAAAACATTATTTTTTGATGATGATGAAAACTGACCAGACAGAACTCATACCACAAGATTTTCGTCAATCGAGCTATACATGGTGTCCGGAGAGGTCATGTCGTGAATGAAAGGGGGGATAGAGTGAGCCAAAGAAATGCTAGTAGGTTCTCCACATGAAAAAATATTTATCACGAAGTTATTGACCTCAAACGTTACAATAATGTCCATTTACTTATGACATTCGAACGGTTGTCATGGTATCAATGATATTCTGTCAGCTTGATTATCTCAGTTCAGTGAATATGTTTCATACATGATGGAACGAAATATTTCGATTTGATGAAGGTATTTTTGACAGAAGACAAATTCACCATTATGTTTCCACCGTTTGTTCCCTTCATTTTTTTTTTATCTTGTACTGATCCAGAAAAAATCGCATTTCGAAAATATACATTCCAACCATTTCAAAGCTGATAAAACTTAATGTATCATGCATGTATGGATTGGGAACTGCCCAATCATGGATTTCATTGATGAAAGTTTGAATATAGATACATATCATACTTTCTTACAAGAACAGTAAGATCCGTTGTTAGAAATGGTGTCTTTGAATATTCGAGGTGATATGTGGCTGATGTACGATATGGTATGCCTGTTCATTTCGACAGAGCTTTAATCACATTTCCGTACCAAAGTCTAGGGCTAGCACCTTCTGAAAAGGCAAACGTACATGAAGGTAAGAATGTCCTTGACATTGAATTAAAATAGTTTATCTAGGCAGTAACTTGGTGATGAAGATGCTTTTTGGTGAGCCAAAATTATGATAGATTGTTCCTTCAGACTCCTGCTGATGTAAGGCGATATTTGGATCGAAAAGTCCATTTCACTCTACCTAGTTTTTCTTAACAATGTGTGGTGTAGGTAGGTATTTCATGATATGCAGTGCGGTTTTTGTAATACTGGAGAAAGGTATTCAGTAGTCATACTATAAGTACTTCAAGATATTGGGGTTATACATTGATAACTCAATGCATAATTACAAAGAGTGTCAGTTTGACAGTTAAAATACCGCGAAGGGGTAAGTAATTTCCGTTCTAGGGACACGATTTGCAATTAATTGGTTGGTACTCTGGTCACAGCCATCGAACACCAACTTTCAGACTGAAAGTTGATGTTCGATGTCACAGCTTAATAAGCTGTGCTCCTGGCATTATTACCTACATAGGTGAGTACAAGTAGGTACAAAACTCTCGTTCGATTATCAGTCTTCAGTATCACACACATCAGATTATCAGACTAGATGATGTAAAAATGAGGTGAAAAACAAATTTAAACAAACCTGAAATAGACTAAATTCTGTTATGAAATTCTCCATATTTATTATAGGCAAATAATAATATGAGTAATACCAAGAACGACCTTCAGTCAGTTTCAATTATATGAGTGGCACTCTAGATACAAAACAAAAAACAATATCGATCATTCTCCCTCCTTCGAAAAATTTTAAGATAAACCAAGGTTGTACGTGAAGAAATTTACACTTTCCTAGCATTAAAAATGTCAGGTTTTCTTCCGGAAGGGTCCAAAAATCTTGCTAAGTAGTTGTACTTATTTAATTATTTTAACGAGGAAGTACATACAACAATTTGAAAAAGGTCTGTTACGAGAAGAGTTTATAATTATATATGATTTTAATTGAATTCTGTTGGTACCCGGTGCCATTGATGGCGGCTGGTGGCGGATTTCGCGTCTCTCGAGTCACCGCGTAAGGAAACCAAAGAAGAAAGAAATTCAAGAACTAAATGAATCAAAGATGGACGGAATTCAGAGAAGTAAGAAAACTGAAGGAACAAGGAAACCAAGGAGTATGGAAACCAAAGAAGGAAGGATCCCAAAGAACGAAGAAATCCAAATGAGGCAGTGATTAAAAAGAAGTATTGAATCCAAAGTAGTTAGGAAACCAAAGAATGAAGGAATCCAAAGATGTAAGGAAATCAAAGACAGACAAAATTCAGAGAAGTAAAAAAACTGAAGGAGGATGGAACCCAAGGAAGTATGGAAATCAAAGGAGGAAGGAATCTAGAGAAGTAAGGGATCAAAAGAAGTAAGGTATCCAAAGAAGTAAGGAAACCATAGGAGGAAGGAATTCAAAGTGGGCAGTGATCTACAGAGGAAATGAATCGGAGAGATGTAGTAATCTTACTCTCTGGAATGGGAGAAAAACGGCAAACTCGCGTCACGGTCAATGTACCATCGATAACTGCGGTAGGAGTTCTCTCAAATAACCGCGTATTATGAGACCAGCACAATCATAAGCGTGTTTATACATATATGTCTTTTACGCTCAAAGCATACGAACAACAGGAATCTGGAATGAGGTGTTCTGGAGTCTGCTGGTTGGCTATGCATAGGTTATACATGCATCGACGTCACGAAAAGTCTAATCATATTGTGTTCTCGCTCGAATTACAAGTGATGTCTATAAATAATTCACATCCATAATACACAGGGTGAGTACTAGATACTTTTTAGACGATGCAATTCGAAATTTTTTTATTATTGAAATTTCTCTACCTATCGATATTTTTATTTCTATTTCATCGTTTTCGCGAATACGGGAAATATCACATGGAATTCATAGAATTCCATCCAGATTTGCTTCGTATTATTGAAGAGATATTGAAAATACTGACCGGCCTTGAAAACTATTCCGAAACCTTTGATCTTGCTCGGTTTTGGGTCCCCAAGTTGCGGTGTATTGCATGCCAGCCAATGATATTATATTTCTAAGAATTATATGTTTTTCAACGAAGGTTTTGACGATTTACAATCGACATATGCTATTCCAGAAATGTTTTTTGAACCTCCCAGTTTTCTCCAAAATCATTAAATATTTGTCATATTCGATACCTTCCTCAGAAGGCAGTAAACCATATGAAATAGTCGATAGGCAGTGTCATGGAGTGGAGAAATGAGTTTTTGTAGACTATTATTAGACAAATTGTAAGGCGACTCTCGAAAATATGTGTTCAGAAGCAATCGAAGATTAATGTCATCATGTTAGTAGATACAAACATGTATTGATCATTAATCAATGCACACCCTCTCAAGATTAGATTGCACTGTTACATAGGGAAATCAACACTTACCCATTATCGGTACGGAACAAGAGTCTTGTCTCTCATCACAGCAGCCAATATTCTCACAGTATGGACCAGGAAGATCTGAGAAATTATCACGATATGGCAGGGAGCTTACTGACAAAAATGCAGTGAAACCTACTGCGATCCCTACTAAATACCAATTCCGAATCATCTGAAACAAAAAGAAAACTGTACCTCAGAGGTCATATCTAGATAGAAATAATTTTCCAATATGTCAATGTTCAGTGAATACTGTTTGAGGTATCTGGGCATCAGAGACTCTTTAATTTGCGAGCAGAACTGAAATTAAAACTGACTATGTCCAGAAAACTGTTTTTTTTTTCTGAAAAACTTGTGAATTTGGTGTTTCTGAATATCCATAATCTATGTACAGGTTATCAATCGATAAAAATAAACAATATGTTGAAGTTGAATGCCGCAATGAGGCCTTTCCACATTCCTTATCAGAAGTTTCACAGGATGATCCCTACATGCGTGACAAACCACAAATTGCGTTTTTTAATTGTAACACCCTGCTGTTCTTTAGACTTCTCTCTAAATCTGTGAGTTTTTGTGATAACAAAAATATATACATACAGGGGAATATCTTCTATTTGCAATCATACATCACTACTCTTTTGAGCATAGAAGAACAAATTTTTTCTGATTATGGCGATCACTTGATCAGTTTGGAAATGTATCCGAAATTAATGCGATATACAACTGTCGAATAAACCCCAATTCATAGCACACTCACAGAAAATTAGCAAACGACACCGTCTCCGAGAAAGAATTGCAAGTATTTTTACCTTTCATTCAACTTTGCGGTCACGTAAATCACTAAACAACCACTAAATTCGCAATTTATCAAAATTAATCACAGCATCAGACTGACAGATATTTGACGAAGGTGTCATTACTATTAAAAACTCGAAATTTCACTTAGATAATTTTCTAATTTTCTTATTTATTACAATGTACTTCTCACATTTCGAAAAACATCAGAAGGAGAGACTGAATAGATGATGGTTTTATTGTAGTAGCTCCTGAGGAAAGTACTTCTGCTATGAGAATTAAGAAAGCAGTTTTCAGTGATGTTACATGAATTATTACCATTTCATTGTAGTTACCGCAATGGAAAGTACTTTTGCTGTAACAAAGTTGTTTCTGTTCACATATCAGATTGAAATCACATTCAAAGTCACTGAGATTTTGTTATGCTGGGGACATATAATGACTCTTAAACAGTCTTTGAGACGTTTACCTTGGTTATTATAATTAATGCGAAGTCAGTTGAAAAACTTCCGTCTTTGAGGACGACACGAAGATTTGTCAATTCGGAGGAATGAATGAGATATTTTCTACTGAGATTTTCCGGTATGCAGTCCGTGCAGTCAGCGTGGACTAGACAAGAGTTGTCATGCTAGAAACCACGTCTCATTGGTTGCATGGGCGGCCTCCTGTGTGATAATAATCTTTTAGCCTGCGCTAGGCAGTGCGGTACGAGCTAGGTTGTCTTCATTGGTTCAACTCAAAATTCAGGAAATGTATTATTTCAATCATAGTGGTTTCGTGTTCTGGAGTCCTTCTGAGGAAGTCAACGAGAAGAGCAAGCGGAGTTAGCCAATAGAAACTCGCACGTTCAAACGCAAAGTGTAATTTTGAATATATTTTCGCGTCTCATGGACGAAAATAATAATTCTTCAGGAAACCAACTCAAGAAGAGAATACATGAATCAACTGAAATAAGCTGTACCACCATATACAGAGTTATTAGAACCGGAGATGTTGTAGATCATGAAGTTAAACGAAAAAGAGTGGGACAAATACTCAAAAATCTTGATGATGCTTCGAAAGAGGTAATTCGTCGTATTGTATATAGATTGTATGATGAGAATGAGGTATCAACATTGACAGATATCAGAAATAAGTTGAATGAATACGCGGATTATAATTACAAATCGTGAAGTACGATGTGAAATGTTCCACTAGATTGCGGGTTCAGCTATGAAAAATTAGACAAAAGGATGTTGATTATGAAACCAAGACGCATCGTAAACCATCGGCAAGAATATCTACGTATGATAAAGGGATACCGTGAAGCGAATAGACCTATCATTTATCTAGATGGAACTTGATTTGACACTCATCACGTTATTCAATACGGTTGCTAGATGATAACAAAAACTGTAATGTGAGTGGTCCGAGTTCGAGAGGTAGAAGAATTATAATCCTTCACGCCGGCAATGAGAATGGATTTGTTGACGATGCATTGTTGATGTCTGTCAAAAATATCAAGCAGTCCTCTGCCGATTATCACGAGAAATGGGAAGAGCAGCAGCTTATACCAATTATTCCAGAGAATCCAGTCATCGTTATGGATAATGCGTCATACCATTCACGCCAACAAACGAAGATACCGAGCACCAACACGAATAAGGCTGACGTTATTCAATTCATGGAGAAGAAAGGCATGGAAATATCCTCTAAAAAACTAAAGAAAGTATTACTGGAAATGATCAGGAAACAAAATTTCCCGAAGGAATATGTAGTTGATGAACTTTTTGAAGCACACGGCCATACTGTCTTACGTTTGCCCCCATATTACTGTGTTTCCAACCACATTGGGATGGTCTGGGCTGCTATCAAAAGCGTACGTAGAAATAACCAATCACCGCAATTCAGCGAGTCAGTTTTAACCACCATCAGGATAGTAGTTAATGTGATGAACGAGAGTGACATATGGAGGAATTGTGTATCTCATGTTATCAAAAAAGAAAATTAATATTGTATCTTACCACGTCCAATCCAATGATCATAAGGGTAAATCAAGATTCAAGTCATGAAGAGTCCGATAGTGACTAGTGATATATCATCCAGTATTTGTATACAACAGTTACGAAAACTAATAAGTAGTGTGTTGTGAATCATATTGTGATTATCATAACCAAAGTGTGGAGTTTAGGAAAGTGATGTGAACATGTGTAGAGAAATTGTGTGAAGTGTAGGAAAGTGATGTGACATGTGAAGTGAATCTGTGGAACTGTACCTATTTCTAATTTCACAAAAAAAAAACCTTCTAACATTCATTTGCTGAGAATCTCCATAAGGTTCAATGTTATTCATATTTTATTCCATTGATTATTTCCTTCGTATGATTTTGTTCAATCAGAACAACGTTCAATTGAGTAAGTTATCTTGTATAATCTCGAATATACATGTATATACATAGAGTAAATCTATTGTAAATTATTGGCATTTTCCTAGTACTCATCTTATTCATATTGTTACATACATATCTTGAAATTCCATATACTACTGATAAATTTTATTGAGTTAAATGTTTTTTTTTTCATTCGATTTCGTTGAGAATTTTCATTGAGTTCAATGTTATATTCATATTTCAATTTGTTGATAATTTTGAAGTAAGTTCCTTTCGGGGACGACTCACGGAAATGACTGGAACTAAGTTTCTTCAAATAGAACACTCTATATATTTTAACTCACATGAAGAATTGGGTAATATCACAATTCAACTGTGTATCTCATACAATCCAATAGTTGTTATCAATAATATGTTATAAATCCGTTTTCACTTGAATCATTATTGGATGTGATTTATATGGAGTGATTCGCCATTTTTAGTTAATGTAACAAAAATGTTAGTATAACATGCCAAGAGTTCAATGAAAGTATCCTGATTCACGTCGAATCAACTTCAGACAGTTCAGGAGATTTGAAATGTTCGTATCATCATGAAAAGCGTTGAACATGTGAATCAATAGATCTTTAAAGATGTAATGGTGCTGAATCGTTTCCAACAATTTCCAAAATGATGACGGTTACTACTCAAACAGATGAACTTTCCTAAACTCATTCGAGAGGAATCAGGATACTTTCCATTGAACTCCTGGCATGTTCTGCTGAAAATTTCGTGGTATCGACCATCATGAATCAATCCATCAAAATACCATTTAAAAAATTCATTTTTTGCCATAGTACCTCCACAGTCATGGAAGTTGAATTCACACTATACAATAATAATTTTATTCAAGACGAATTCATAACATAAATTCACAATTGAATGGTAAATTGCCTCAACTTCCCAAATGAGTGTTGATTTACAGGATGTTTCAGTCATTTTTATGAGTCCCGAAATGAAGATACTTCTGAACCTTTTTCCTATATATGCTGAAAATGATCCGGTTCATAGGAAAAATTCCCAATGGTCTTGAATGAATGAAATCTTTATTCCTTTTATAAATATAAAATAATCTGGTAGGAAGCTCATTGGTTAAATATGACTTTAATCGGAAATTATAACATGAACCTGATACATTCTTCGCTTAGTGATCATACTTCATTATGATAAGGCAATTCAAATTAAAACAAATCATATAGATATCACACTGAAAGATTGAGGCTATAGAGATGCATTGTGGTGCAACTCGTTTGGGATGGAAGACCTGTCTGGTCTGAATTTGTCTAGGAAGTGGATGGATGTATCGATATCATGAATGTTATAGCCAGTTCATTCTGGCAGAGATTTTGGTACAGAGGACAATGAAGAAATGATTGCTCTGAAAATTTCATACGAATTTATAGTGTCTTATGCAGCTATGGCTATAGACGAACGTATATTTTTCTTGTATCCAAGAATCGAAGAGTCATCAGAAGAACTTGAATACGACGATGGTTTTCATGGAGTTAGTATGTTGTTAAGGTTATAACAGATAATGGGACCCAAATATGTGAACTTCAGGGCCAATAGATGAGATATAGACACAGACAGTCTCTGACGACCGTTGGCACGGAGAGGTTATTTATTGTATGTTCGATGATTGGAATGATGTCGATTGATATTGTTAATGAAATAAGTTGAAAAATCATTTTCGTTATTTTTCTAACAAAGCAGGAGTGATATACACCCGTTTATCTAGTAAAGTTCAGTGCTATGGCCAAGAGCAAAAATCGTGCCCATAATCGGTGACGACGTTCTTCAGGAAGTTCGTTCAGTTCGAGTTCGAGTGAATCTAGTGCAAGTTCTACTTCGAGTTTTAGTTCGTTATCTTCTGAAGAAGAAACATGAAGGAAGATTAGAGAATTGGGGAGAAAAGTTTCTGTTCTTCAAGGTTCTGTGATGGCATCCGATAGAGCTATACTTGAAGAAAC